CTATAACAATTTTTTTCTATAGATTATAACTATTTATACAAAAGTGATGCTGCAATATCAATGAGTTGGGGTTGGTATAAGACTAACCCAACCATAACCTATAGGGTTGGGTAAGTGTGGGTTTATCACTAAAATCAACCACGAAATTGGAAAGCATTGTTAGAAATGGAATTAGAATGGTCTATTCCCATAATCTGTTTGGTTCAGAGAAAAATCTAAATGGAGATTAAAATCAGCTGGAATGAAATTTCATTCCCAAAGAGAGAGAGGGAATCACCATCCCCCCCCCTCCCTACCCAATTTCATCAGAAATGGGATTCCGAATCTGCCCAACTGTAACTATTGAAAACAAAATGGCCCATTCCAATTCTGATTCTGGACAAGGATGTAGTCCACCTTCCCCTCAACTAGAGGTGTAAAGTGTGTCGTGTCGTGCTGGCCCATGGGCCGTGCCATCCTCCCTGGTGGAAATTTTAGGGGTCGGCCCGGCACGGCCCACGGCCCAGGCCTGGGCAGGCCCATGCTGTACCATGCTGGCATGTAGTCCTGGGCTGGGCCGGACCGGGCTGCAGGACGTGTCGAGCTGGGCCACAGGGCGGGCCTTAGGCCTGGGCCGAACCAGGCTGCATTGTTTTTTTTTTTATTTTTTTTTTGAAAATTTTGATTTCTTTTCTAAGTAAAATTGTAAAACTAAAACATTTAACTTTCCTATGAACTTCAGGAATTGGGAACCATTTAAAAAATTAGGAAATGAGAAATCTAAGTTATTCAACACATAAATGAAAAAAAATACTTAACCAAATTGAAATAAGAATGATGGAATAACAAATTAGAAGAAATAGGAATTTTATTTCATTTAAATTTGAATTGTACAAATTAATGAATTACAAATACAATGATTGGATCATTGCATAATTGGATGAATAAAATATAAAAATGGAATAAATTAATAAAATATAAAAAATACAATATGGTTACAAATTGAAAATACAAAATTACATTGTTAAAAAATAAAATAATATATCAAATAAATTAAATTAAATTAAAAAAATTACAATAATTTGAAAAAATGAAAAATTCTATAGAAGTAGTCAAAATTCATGAATCATCATTCATGACTTTCATCATCTGCTTTGGGTGAATTTTATCATGCCCTCCCTTGTGTTGTAATCTATCTTCTACATCTAGCCAATCCTTGAAGCAGATGCACATCTCTATGCTCTCATCGTTCATGCAGCTTCTTTTGTCATCCAACACCTTGTTACTTGCACTAAAACAAGACTCCGATGGAACTGTAGACACCGGACAGGTTATTAGATCACGTGCCATAGCGGCGAGAACCAGATAATTTTTTGAGTGTTCACCCCACCAGGTTAAAATATCAAAATTACTTAATATTTCACCTAAATTAGAAAAATTTGCTTCTAAATAAAAATTAAGTTTAGTAAATGAACTTGTAGAACTAGCAGATTTCTGCCTTCTACTTATTAAATAAAAAAGTTTTTCTCTTCTACTACTGGGCTCAAGGTCAGAAGTAGAAGAAGAAGATGATGAGAAAGTTGTAGGAATATTTCCTACAACTTCAGATTCATACAAATAGTACACTTCAAATAATAAATTATTACTTTCTTCTTTTTTTATTTCCTATATCAATATTCATATTTTCACAATATGTTTCAAGTAAAATATCTAAACCATCTTTCCTAATCTTAGGGTCTAATATTGTAGCTAAACAATAAAGGAGAGGAATATTTTCCCAATATTTTTTAAATTTATTTTTCATAATTTCAATAATACATTGAAATTGTGGATTATTTCTATATTTAGCAAAACAATCACTAATTACCATTAATTGATATGGTAAATTAAAACTAGTTGGATAATAAATTTCAGATAATTCATTTGTTGCATCATAAAAATATTTTAAAAAATCTCTTATACAGATTGCCATTTCCCAATCTTCCTCAAATATCATATCATTAGGCATTATTAAATTATAAAAATAAAAAAGAATTTGTTTATGAGATATACAACTTTCTAACATAGCATATGTAGAATCCCACTTATGCTTTACATCTAATATAAAATGTTTATATTTTAAACCATAATTTTGGCATAAATATTTAAATTTTTGTTTTCTTGCCCCTGAACTTTTTATATATATAATACAATTTTTAATTTTTGAAATATGATATGAAATAATATTCAAGGCATCTTGAATACATAAATTTAAGATGTGACATGCACATCTAATATGAAATAATTTACCATTTAAGCATGGTTTTAATTGAGATTTTAAAATATTTATTGCAGAATCATTATTGCTAGCATTATCAAAACTAATAGAAAACAATTCCATAAGCATGCAAAGTATTTAAAATACTTGCAGCAATAGCTGGGCTACTATGTGGCCATTCAAGCCTAGTAAAACTTAAAATTCTTTTATTCAAAAGCCAATTTTCATCAACGAAATGGCCGATAACACAAATATAACTATTATTAAATTTGGATGTCAAAAAATCCGAAGTAATTGCAACTTTAGAATTAAGATTTGTTAACAAAGAAATTAAATTTTGTTTATATGAATAAAAAATTTTAAAGCATAAGTTCTTATAGTATTCCTATAAACTTTTTTATATTGTAGGTTTACAGAACTACGCAACCATTTTTTCTTGCTTTGGATTTTTAGCTAATACAAATGGTTGTTTTGCTGTACAATATACTTAGCAAGTTCTTGTTTCATCTTTTCTTGTGAATATCTAAAAGTACCTAAACTAGTCCCCCTCCCGATTTGTGTTTAGGTTGTTTCTCTCCCTTCATCTTCCTCTCGCTCATGTGTGAGCAGATGTTTGCTCAAATGACCCGTACCACCCTTGCTACAATAACAAAAGTCTTTCCTACATTTTTGGCAAACGACCCTTTTCCCCTTCCCATTAATATTCTCTACTTTGAAAACTTTCCAAACCGGGCTACTCAGCTTAGAAGCCCTCAGTTTCCCCCTAGTATCATTACTACTGAGGGTGAAAGTTCCACTTCCATCGACATCAATCGCATCAATGCTAACACTATCGTAATGTGATTGAATGTCATCCATGGTGAACATGTTGGGTAATCGATTTTCAGAAGAGTTGGCCATATTTTTAATTCTAAAAAGATAAAAATTAATCTAATTCAATTTGCCCAGATTGCCGATTCAAAATCTCAACTTGATTTCAACGGTTGAAGCCTTTCAACGTCCAAGCCTCCCGAATTGAGATACTTGAGCTGGTTGAGCAAGCCTTCTTGTTGAAAGTCGAAGCTTCGATAAAGTTGAGACTTAAGAATTGGTGAATGCAGAATCAAACAACTAGCTAATAAGAATTTCTCAAATTGCAGATAATTGAGAATGTATGAGTATGAGAGAGAGAGAGAGAGAAAGAGATTAAGAGAATTGTTGAATTGGTGTGATGAAAATGGTGGAGGATAGGGCTATTTATAGGATTGAACATAATTCAATTGCCCAAGGTATCCAAAAAATTATCTGCTATTTAGTTGTTGGGAGGGGTATTTTGATCATTGTAAAGTTATTTATAACTTTACCCAAAATGCCCCCTAAACTAATTGTTATATAGTTGTTGGGGGACATTTATATCATTATTCAACCCCTCGTAAGCAAAATACACAAATACCCCCCTAATATGGCTGTTTATAGCTGTTGGGCCCCTTGGGGTGGGG